ATGACAGAAGGCACAGTAGCAATAAATAGAAATATGTTAAACATCAACAGGCAAGCTTTGGGGAAGGCAACTCACTAAGTTTTGAACCACAATGAGTATAGCATCCTGGAGGCTATGACCAACACAGAGGGACAATGCCAGAGTTGTCAGCTTGTTATGAATATAACAAATCATCCACATGATGCCAAAGGTATAGTACATAAAAAGAAAGGAAGGGATCAAAAAAGAAATGTCAGAAAACAATATCATGAAAAAGTCAAAGAGAAATGGTGAATCTGGAAATTTGTCTGTACATACTGAATCAGTAGCCAGCACATTTCTCCTGTAAAGGGACAGACAACAAACAAAAGGTACAGAATTATGTTCCAATACAACTTCATTTCCACATGACTATAAAATAATATTCTGTTTTTTGGTTTTTTTTTCCCCCAAACTATTCTATTGTAAAGTCCTTTTTTTGCTTATAGGCTATAAAAATACAGATGTCAGAGCAGATCTGGCCTGTGGGTTAATCTGCCAGCCCCTACTCTTTAAGTTAGAAGCAGCAACAAGGATAAGACTATGCTTTTCCAAACTTCTAACAGATTTTCCTACAGATAAATTGATAACTTACCACTTCCATTTGACTAAAGTTCTCAAGTTTGATCCCCTAAGCATGAGACAACTATGTGTTAATAGACATGTTAGTTTAAGAATACTGCCTTCTCAGGGGCTAGGGTTGTAGCTCAGTAGAACGCCTGCCTATCATGTGTGAGGCACTGGGTTCGATTCTAAGCACTGCATACAAATAAGCAAAATAAAGGTCCACTGACAACTTAAAATATTTTTTTTTAAATGAATACTGCCACTGTCTTCTTAAAATAAGTACTGAAAGGAGGTACTCCTTATCTCGAAAAGATAAAAACCTGTGAGAATATTAGAAACAAATTCTAACACAAAGCCAATAATGTAAACTAGCAAAAGATAATAAATGGCAAACAGATTTTTACACATATGAATAATCATACAATATACCATTCTCTCTCTACCCTTCCCTTCCATTATGATGGTAAGTCAAATTTCTGTATTTGGTATTTCTTTCAGATGAGCTATTCCTATACTATGAACATAGCAATGGTACCAGATGAAAAACATTACTTTAGAATTTAACCCTCATTGCTTTTAAACATTTAAAGTAATTTATATAATCTTTAAAAATAAATAAATAAAACGATTCAATGGCAGCCTGCATAAAAATACTAGACATAAGTAGACTTTAAAAACCTATAAATATCAGTATTGAATATGCAAGTTTTTTGTTTTTTGTTTTTTAAATTAGGGCAGAATTGTCAACTTCTGCATTCTTCACACATACAAACCATATCTGGTGAGGAAGGACTCCTTACCCCCAAGCCACTCCTTGTAACTTAGCTGTAGCTCAGGGGCACAACAGGACTCCTTCTTCAATCACTTGCTGCAGCAATAGGCTGTAACCCAAGAAAACTTTAATACCAGATGAAAGCATAACATTGCCCACCAAGTTCACACCTTTCACTACTGAAAAACTATTTTAACTTGTCTCATTTCAAACAGACAAAGCAATTATTAAAAATACAGGCTAAGCTGCTGTTGAGAGGGCCCAAGAGGGAAAAAATGATTATATGACGTTTCCATATGAATTTAAGTCAAGTCTCCCAAGAACAGCAGAAATTACAATATTTCCTAGTTAGAGAATGTGGTCAAGCAAGCCAAGCTAGAATGATATAGGGTTGGCCAGTCCCACACGAGTTCATTAGCACCCTATATCTTCAAAAAAATCTAGAATGCAAATGGTTTATAGGTATTCCAGAATATCCTAAGTAGGACAACAACTCTAGAACAAATACAAAATTTTGCTGAGGTTTTCTAATAAAAAATAAACAATAATAAAAAAGACCCAAGTGAAGAAAAAACAAGAAAATCTCTTCACAGGACAACTAAAACACCTACTGCTTTCTTCATTTTAGAAACTAGGAATTTAAATTCAGATTCTATCATAAAACTCTACAAACTACTTTTGGTGAGTTATCTTAAAACAATCTTTTCAATCAACTTAAAACTAAATGGGAAGTATTGAACCTAAAAATATTATTTAATGAAAAACTTTAACATCTCCAAAATAGCTACCAACTTCTTTATTCCTATTTGAAACATACAAAAAGATTATATATACAGTATTTTATGGTACTTGCATGCACTAATTTAGCAATTGAGCTAGTTATTAAACTATTCTCATATAAAAATTCCTGAATGATGAGATGATTTCAGGGAAAATATTTTCATAGGGCTTTCACAAGTCTAACTACGCCAACTGTGATCATCTTCTGAGCCAACAGAATAAGACATGATAATTAAAGTGCTCCTAAACTAAGTAATGAAAGAATATTTATGTACTGCAAAGATTTTTCTCCTTAAGATTCCTCTCATTACACCCATCCCAGATGTAAAAAAGTTCTAAAGTTTTCTATAGCTTTTTTGGGCTTCCCCACAGTAAGTGATTTTATCACTCATGTGTGGGCAATTTACTCTTACCTAACTGAAATTAAACATCAATTTTTAAAATCTAATTAAGTGAAAAAGTACAATAATCTTTTCCCCCAGGCTCAACAGAAGTGACTGAGAAATCAGAACTCACCCACCAAACCACATGGCCCCTTCTCTCCTATTCACCTGGAAGTTCACATTTCAAGGAGACAAGGTAGAGGCAGAGAAAGCACTCACCATCTCACAATCCTTTTCTTTTTCAGTTGTTAGAAAAGGTCTTCCTCATATTGAGATGAGACTGCCTGAAATCTGCAGCCTTGGTCTTTCCTTTGCAGCTATGTCCTTCCATATTATAGCCTATGAATAACATCTTTTCCAGAAGTGAATAAAACTCTTCTGCTGCTATTTGATGTAGGGATAACAAGACTTCCAAAAATCATTACTCTAAAGACTCGTCTATAAAT